CGCCTCGCGCCCGGCCTCTGCGCGCCGCTCCTAGTGCCCACACCTGGTGCTCCAATCCCCCGCCCGCGGGCTCTCCGACGTCCCATTTCTTCGATCGTCTGAAAGCCCATGTCCCTCTCAGCGATGCTCTGTCACGGCCTCTGCCATTCATTCGGTGGCCCGAACACATCCCAGGCCCTCCAGGCTCCAGGTTGGCGAGGTTCCGGGCACAGGTTAGCCGAGAGAAGGGCGCCTGTAAGTGAGGAGGGGTGAAGGGTGGCAGCTGAATGGAACCCGCATCGCCTCCTAGGATTCTAGGATCCCCAAAGTCTCCACGTAGAAGGCCCTTGTCTCGGGGTCCGCATTCTCCCGCAGCCGCGGAAACCACACCTGCCTTTCCGGGAGTAGCCTGCAACCATGTGCGGATCCTGGCCGTGGAACCCACTGGTGACCTGCAAGCCTCAGAGGCTCCCTAGATGTGAAACAACTCGTTTGGAGGGGGAAACCTACGATTGAATGCAAAGCTCTGTGGCTCGAAGGCCTGAGCCCTCCTTCAGAGACCAGGTGCCCCTACCCAGGAATTCCACTTTACAGACTCAACCTTCTGCGCTGAAAGTGTGAACAGAGGGAGATGCTGGACGAAGCCAGTCCCCTGGGACCGCAAGGCAGGTGGGGCTCCACTGTGGGCACCGCGTTCCCCGCCTGGCACCCCCAGGTGCCCCGTTTCCCAAGGGCAGCTCCAACGTTCTGATGCTCCAGCGAGGCGCAGCCTCCCTGGCTTCTTTGACCCCAAGCGTTGGGTAACCCCTGGCAATCACTGGAACCGTCTGACCAGCGGATTCACAGCTGGGTGCGAAGAGGATGATGCATGGCCCGCCGGCTGAAAGCGAGATCCCATCCCTGGCGCTTTAGGTTGCACCTGGCGCACCCGCCTTGCGGATGTGGATGGGCTTTCTCATCTGCCTTTCAACCGCAGATCTGCCTTTAAACGCTTATATGCAGTCTTTTGCGTTGTGGTGGTGCAATTGATAGAATTCGCACATAAGTGGCGCCATTTCGGTGAGGGGGTTAAGTGTTGGAATTTTTTGCAGGATCTGTAATAATTTCCCCAACCTTGCCTTTTCACACCTGTTCTTCTACTCTGTATATCACAGATGATTTGTTTTCCCTATTACATGCAAACAAAAACAAATATTGCTGGGTTTCCCCCTCTGCCTTGCCAGGCAAAAGATCCCAAAGTACCTCTCCTTCAGCCACTGGCAGACTTTTTCAATCCTTTCTTTGAGCCTTCCCCTTACCTTGTCTCTTATTTGCTACCTGCAGTAATTTTCAGGACTATCTATGATCATTACTGTTGTGGCCCAAGAGCCTGAACTACAGTTAGTGGTGAACACTATAGCCCCTGACTTGCAACTCTGAATTTGGATAGCTCCAGACACATGTCCAAACAACCTTCACAATTCACCAGAGCTGGTGAGAACAGGGAGTGGGAACAAATTGGGGAGATAGTATATATAGGGAATGGTACTAGATCGATCCTAAAGTACTGATTTGGTCATTTATGGGTTATGTGATCTTAAGCAATTACTTCTATGAAGTTGGCTTTTTATTTTTTTATATATGTTTTTATTGATTTTAGAGCGAGATAGAGAGAAAGACATAAGCTGGCTGCCTCCTGCATGCCCCCTACTGGGGATTGAGCCCACAACCCAGGCATGTGCCCTGACTGGGAATGGAACTAGTGAACTCCAGTGACCTCTTGGTTCATAGGTCAATGCTCAACCACTAAGCCACACACACTGGTGGGGCTATGAGCTTGGCTTTTCTAAACTAAAAAGGAAATACGGCACAACCCTGGGTAACTTGTTTTGATCAACTTGGTTTTATTATAACGTTGATGTAAAAAAAATTAATTAATTCCCAGCCAGGGCCACTGTGGTGTTTGTACATTTCCCCCAGGTCTGCATGGGTTTTCTCAGGTACTCCAGTTTCTTCCCACATCCCAAAGACATATGCAATGTGAGGTGAATTGGCACATCAAACTATGTGTGAGGGTGCACTCTGCAATGGAGTGGCTCCCTGTCTAGGATTAGATCCTGCCTTTCACCCTGAACTGCCAGGATAGGGTGCTGCCACGCGAGACCTGGGAATAAATGGGTTGGAAAATCATTATCTTAATCTTTCTTAAATGTATGTACATATACATTTACTTCAGTGTTTAATAGTAGAAATGTTTGGGTCTGTTTCTCTTTTCTTAATTTTTAATTTATATTTATTGATGAGAGAGAGAGAGAGGGAGAGAGAGAGAGAAGCATCAATTTATTGTCCCACGCATTCCTGCATTCATTGGTTACTTCCTGTAAGTGTCCTGACCAGAGAGCAAACCCAAAGCCCTGGCATATTGGGAGGATGCTCTAACCAATTGAACAACCCAGCCAGGGCCAGAAATGTTTGGGTCTTTATTTAGAAGTTAGTTGATGTTTGTGTGACCAGAAATATGCCATAGGAACTTAACTCTTTTTCTCTCTCCTTTTTTTCTTTTCATTTAGCCTATGGCAAAATTGGTTTCCTTATTTTCCAAAAACTTATTGAGGATATTAAATTAGGACTTAATATAATCATCTTTTACTTGCAAGAAATAGAGAAAAAAGCTCAAGTATTTAAGGCCTATTAGGCATAAACTATTGCTGGTATTATTTTTACACTAGAGGCCTGGTGCATGGATTCGTACACCCGTGGAGTCCCTTGGCCTGGCCTGCACCCTCTCGCAATCCAGGACCCCTCGGGGGATGTCGGATAGCCGGTTTCAGCCCAATCCCCACAGGCCCAATCCACAGTCTGGGAACCCTCGGAAGAAAACCACCTGCTGGCTTAGGGTCGCTCCCTGGGTGGCAGATGGCATGCCCAATACCGCAGTGTCTGCCCCATCTCCCCCAGTCACATATGGAAGGCCCAGATCCCACGCTGGGGCGGGCGGTGGCTGGGGATCTCACTGCCACCCACCCCGCCCACCCCGCCCAAGACACTGTAGGCCCGGATCCCACGCTGAGGCGAGTGGCCGCTCAGATCCTGCTGCCACCTGCCCCGCCCACCCCGCCTGACCCTCGGCAGGCCAAGATCTCGTGCTGGGGCGGCGCAGCAGGATCTGTCTGCAGTATGCAAATTAGCCTCCATCTTTGTTGGTGTTTAATTTGCATATCGTGCTGATTAGCCAATGGGAGGCGTAGCAAAGGTACGGTCAATTACCATGTTTGTCTATTATTAGATTAGACTGGAGGCCCGGTGCATGAAATTCGTGTACGGGGGAAAGAGGGGTGTTCCTCAACCCTGCCGGCCCGATAACCCCCAACTGCCCTCCCCTGCCAGCATCTTGTGGCGGCCATCTTGTGATGACGTTGCGGTGGCCATCTTGTGTCAACGTTGCGCGAGGGTGTCACGTGGGGGCATGATGCCACCTAGGCTTTTATGTTTTTATTTTTTATTTTTTTTTAAATATATTTTATTGATTTTTTACAGAGAGGAAGGGAGAGAGATAGATAGTTAGAAATTTTTATTTTTTTATTTCTTTATTGATTAAGGGATTACATATGTGTCCTTATCTCCCCATTGCCCCCCAGCTCCCCACTCATGCCCTCACCCCCCTATAGGATGAGTGTTTTATGGAAAAATGCCTCTCCACCCACCCCTATTCCCCACCCCCATCCCCATCCTTTTCTCCACTAGTGGATGAGGAAGGATAGAAGCACCCTCTCCTCTTAATGTACCTGCCTTCATTCTTTGCATTACAGTGACTACTTATAAGATAATGCATTTCTACCCTGGCTGGTTTGGGTCAGTGGAGAGAGTGTCGGCCTGTGAACCAAAGGGTCACAGGTTCAATTCCAGTCAAGGATACGTACCTCTGTTGCAGGCCTGGGCCCTTAATTTTTTTCATATCAACTTTATAATAAAACCAAGTTGAGCAAAATAAGTTATCCAGGGTTGTGCTGTATTTCCTTTTTAGTTTAGAAAAGCCAAGCTCATAGCCCCGCCAGTGTGTGTGGCTTAGTGGTTGAGCATTGACCTATGAACCAAGAGGTTACTGGAGGTCACTAGTTTCTCTCACACCAATATTTCTCTCTGTCTTGCCCTCTCTTTTCCACTCTCTAAAAATCAATGGAAGAGACAGAACCTGGCTGAAGAACCTAGAGTCAGAACCTGGCTACAGAACTTGGCTAGAGAACCTAGACAGAACATGGCAAAAGAACCTGGATAGAACCTGGCTGGAGAACCTGGCTACAGAACCTGGTGACCGAACCTGGCTGGAGAATCTGGAAACCCTGGCTGGAGAACCTAGCAAGAGAACATGGCTACAGAACTTG